TATGGATAAGAAGATTCTCATGGAAACAGATTGTAGGTTACGTACTCATGCGTGATCACGCGTTTTCGCAACTCAAATAATAAATAATTTGATGCTCATTGTTCAAATCTTTCTTCCCACAATACAATCAATATGATTAATACAGATATTCCTATAAAGAAGAGAAGAATTATGTAATATGTACACATTATTTCTGTATGTTACAGTTTTTTATAATATCTTCATAATATCACAATCAAAAATTAACATTTACCAGGCCACTTCATCAGGCGAGGAGCAAATACTGTAACGGGCTGCTTCTCGTCCTGATGAAGTGGAACAAGGTTCACGAAACGTTAGTATCCTAAGAATGGATTTGAACATGGAGAAAATCCGCGAAACGTATAATCATTATATAGAAAACACCTGTGGAAGCTTCAAGAATATTATTAACATTTATATTTTATAATATAACTTTCACGTTTGTCTCATATAAAATATTTACTTGATTAAAAATAAGATTAATTATAAACTTTTTTCTGTGTGATATTAAGATATTAGATTTCATTATAACATAATTGTGATATCCAAGTTTAGTTCTAATGTTCTTTAATAATTTTATTTAAACCTTATTTTATTTTTGACTACACACAATAGTAAGTAGATATATTTTATTAATAAATTCATTACATAATTACTACATACAATACATATAATACATAAATATAATTATGGTAACGTTTTAATAATTTTATTTTCATAAATTATATAAAGGTTTTATTTTGTTTACATTTTCCTCTAAAACTTCTTATAATATATTAAAACAATATAAAAATATCATAATAAATCTTTTTTACTCATAAAAAATATATTTTTAACTTAAATTGTCTTTTCGTCATCTTATCCACTACTAAAAGTCATCTTACCCACATATAAGGGCAAAATGACGAAATTGATGTGTCCTTAAAAAAATAAAATTTTAAAGAATTGTAATATTTAAAAGTTTATTTAAAAGTTTATAATTTTTACAAATGATAACTAAGACTATAGTGAACTT